CTTCAATATCAAAACTTACGCGACATCGAATCTTTTCCGTGTTCAGAAGAACGAGAGAATGATTGCTTTCAATGACGTTATCTCGAGGACACCTCACAAGTGTACCGCGATGAACATGAAAACGACCGACGAGTCGAAGATGATGGACGAGAGGTTACCGCCATGAGATCGACTATGAATTATGCAGACACTTCAAACCTCATGGGCTCCGTCGCGGTTAGACGGGACGACGGGAGGCTGAACGATGGAAAATGTTGTTAATGCGCAACGAGATGAGTGTTAAATCGTTCAGACGTCAAGTCACGAAACATGTTATCCTACAAAAATGGCTCTACAAGGATTAAGAGTTACCGGTTACGTCACTCAAACTGCAAACTGATAAAAAAAATGGTTCGCCGATTATTATCTGCTGTTAAATTTTTCTTGCAAATAACACTATATTTATGATACTAAAAGATTTGATATCAAAAGTTCAGAAAAGAAAAATCTCATACTGTAGATATAATTATAAATTCGCAATAAACATATAATGTGATTATAAAATCATAGTATTAAGAACAATGCGTTGTTGTTTAAAAAAAATTGTCTAAGTAACGTAAAGTAATGTTATAATTCCATCGTGTATAGGTATAAACTATATTTGCTTTCTTTTTAGCTATAGCATGTTATTCAAGATTCGATAATAAACTTTAACATGTTCAAACCTTTTAACATGTCCAAATATCTCTCTCTTCGACATTTCGGTTTGCATTTTATTTTATTTAAGCAGTGTTAATTTACACTATTCGCGTTAAGAAAACACTTATTTAGTAGATCCCAAACGTGAGCGGAATAAAGTAATTTAGCAAGTAAAATAGTAATAAAATAATTTTCTTATTACTATTTATATCTGATAAAACGTGCTCCTATAAGTTTCTATCATTTCACACAAATAATTACTTTGATTAACATTTCCTTGATTCCATTTTCGACAGTAACATTCATTTTAATTATGAAAATTCTCATACAAAAAAATTTCCGCTTGATAAAATAGGATTATTACTTCATTACATCCACATTGACCATCAAGAAAATAACGACAGTGGATTAATAGCGGGAAATTTTAATCTGTTGTTTCAATTTGCTGGAACAGCTGTTACAAAGCTCTTAATTCTAATTGAACATATATATACAGGGTATTTCATCAGGGCATCCACGACGCGAGCAACGACTTGACTTTTTCGTGACGCGAATACTCAAGATAATTCAACGTATTCTCTAATTTACTCCTCTAGAACATTTAAATACAGCACTCAAGCACGCGAATCCGTGTTTTTCGTTTACAATGCCCCAGAAAAGTCACGCCATGACTGCGGATTTTTTCACTAATTAGCGTTTCTTAAATCTTCAGCGTATTATTGATGGTCACTTACTTTAGAGTTATTTTAACACTTTAATTTTGTTAATAACAGTAATTTAAGAAAATGAAGTTGTTAAGAAATTATCGTGCAGTGTGATATTCACAATCTTTTTTATGAAGAAATATCCAAACGAATTCAACGTACTTTCTATATATCTACTCATTCATTTTCTGAGCTGTCTAACATAGATTTTTGTAATAATAACGGTATCTCATATAATGGATCAAATTGTAATACTATTTGTTTTATATTGAAACAAATTATAGAAAAAAGTCAAAATATTGTACATCTATCATTTTTGTGCGGGTATATTAACTTCCTTTGTCGCGTGTTGTTTTATTTTTTTAAACATTATTGTGAAAAAGAAAACGCACTTTCGACGAGTTCAACTTTCGATGTTATATATGGGTTTGGAAAAGTCTATTTTATGAGATTGTGTCTCAATTGTGAGATTGCTGTTATCACGAATGAACATATAAGTTCCTATATCTATAGCGACGAAACTTTAATTCGTGACGTACATGGAGAGAATTTTTTCTTCGAATTTATCCTGAAAATATGGTAATCGTGAGCCAACATTGTATTTCAAAGAATTTTCTCTCATTCATTAATAAAACTACAATAAAATAAGTTTAATTAATTTTACTGAAGTGCATTGGTATAAAAGTCTTTAAAATATTATATTGCATCACAACTGTCATATTTTAGAACAAATTTGAAGAGAAAATTCTTTCCGTGCACCACTTTCAATCTTTACTAAAAATGCAATAGCTGCCTAATTAAATAGATCACCGAAATGGAGCAATACATGAAAGGCAAAAGAAGAAAGACAAAGAAGATGTAACAAGTTCTTATATGTTTTCCTCACTCTAATCGAAATCGAAGGATCACGAGGCGTTAATAATCTGCATAGAGATGAGCTTACCGGTTTAGTGTCTATGTGATTCAACGATATCTACGGATATTGCGACGTCTCAGCGCACGATATATCCCTTGTACGTATCCTCGAAAAAGAACAGTAATGTTCGCTGATAGGAAGGCGATCGTTTTGAAATTCGAAGTCCTCTTCGAACTCGATCTCTTTCGCGCGCCCAACGAAGACGTGGACGCGACGATTGGAGAGACGACCAAGAAGCGAGGCTACCCAGGAGACTCGGCTGGCAGGAACTAACCCGATTACTCACGAGAAGCCGTCGTTCGTCCAAAAAACTGCGACCGCGAGATCGTCGCCGTTGACACGGGCTCTTTCACGACACATCGAACGTACGTACCGCCTGCGAGCTCACAGGTCACTGCTGTGGCAAGCTCGGTCCCCTTCCGGCTCGCGCACCCTCGCGCGCAATTCGCGAGCGCATATTATTCTCACCTCGTCCTGCGGACATCACGACGACGCGTACAATTTTATGCCGCTACCGAGCTACCGAGACTCGAGCGCATTGCTTTTTGCGTATTGCATATTCGCGCGCTATCGATCGAGGCGTCTCGGTGGTGGCCGATAAAGGGCCGCAGCTGCATGGAGAAAGAGAGATATATATATATGAGAGAGAGTACTCGGCCGCGTTTAACCCATTACCCCGTCCGGTTGCATTACCCGTTCGTGCTTAAAGTTTAAGCGTGGGCTTCGCAGCATCGGGATCGACGGATACTTGTACACAACCACGTAAGGTTCGAATTTAATAGCAGCGTTTAAAATTTCAAGCCGGTTGAAGCAACAGGCCTGTCGAATCGATTATGATCCGGATGCTGTTCTTTTCTTTTTTTTTTTTCTTTTTTTTGTTAGTGTTTAATCTAAAAACGCGTTGGAAACGATAAAATTGCTTATTTATGTAACATTGAGAAACGCGATTCTGGCGTGTGGTTTCTTTCCTCTTATTTACGTATCAATGTATCATCGTGGGTATATGTATAAAAATAAGTTGAAACAAGTTGGTTATCGATGTAATCTTTACCGTAGTATAAATAGATACGACGCAATAAATCAATCTCTAGAGTCTCATTCCGAGTTTCCCGGAAGTTCCGTAGAAGCCGTTGTTTTACTATCCGAGTAATTTCCATTCGATTTTCTCATTGCGAGAAGTTAATCTAAAGTTTAATTACCATAGTATTTAATATTAATATCACAAAAACTGAACAATAGTTTACTTTGATTACTTTTGCCACAATTTATAATAATATTTTATGTAAACAGAAAATTCGATTGAGTGACATTAAATATTCCGAATTCTGAGAACTTTTTTCATTTTAGAATGCAAAGTTCAAAGTTCGCCGTGAAAAAAATATTATTCGTAAATTATAGATGAAGAAGGGAATTGAACTTCAAATTAAAAGAACAATCATATGACAAAATTTTATATAATAAATATAAACATGAGAAGTTTCTTTTCGTTATACCTATGTTTACGATTTCACGTATATTCTCTTAAGTTTCCCAAAATTTTCAGACGTACTTGAATAATTTATTTTGACAAAAAACTCTCGCTGAACAATCCACGAAATGACTAATCCAGATTAGCGGTCTGACGTGAGCAGAAAGCCAGATCTAATCGTACAACCCTATAATTCCCCTTCGACTATTTATTCCTCATTCGTTTCGCGTGCAAAATATACGAGCTGACTGCGGAAAGTTCTCAACAGAAACGGGTCATGGCGTAACGTTGTTTTATCCCGTCTTGTCTCATTCGAAAGTAGACGTCGACTCTAAAACGCTTAGACAGCGACCCAGTCTCATCACTATACTCGACGTTCACCAGCACAGCTCGACAGTTACTCGCGAATTCTGGAAACTATCGGACGGGAAAGAAGAAGAGAAAGACTGAAAAGAAAAATCGAGGAATTTTTCTCGCCCTTTTCCTCAGCATGCCCTGAGGACCACCAGACCACATACCGGCGAACACACAAAGTCTCCCTTATCTTTGGTACTTTAACCCGGCTGTGTCGGTGCTCCCGTTTTCCCTCTCTCCTCTTCTCCTCTCATCACTACGTACTAGTACCCCTCGTTAATTAGTCTTACATTCACGTCCTCGCTAATTAGTCTTACATTCACGTCGTAAGAAAAAGGATCACCACTCGACTACGTCGCGGTTTAAACGTCAGCGCGCGATTCCTAAGTGGTCTTCATCTTTCATATCTCTCTCTCTTTCTCTCTCTCTCTCATTATTTTGCATTTATTATATAGCGTTCTACACTTTTTTTTTTACAACACCGAGATCGCCATTTCGAGCTGATAGCGCGGATAGCGTCGTAGCATGATTCTTACACGCTACTCTCCCTCGTATTCTCTTCGTCGACCGATAGAAGGGTGCGTGCTCGATCAAAGAGGACGAAACGAGAACGCACGCGGGTTTCTCCTGTCGCTCTCCAGCTTCCTCGTGATTCTCCTCTCTCTTCCTTTCGTTTTCGCTCCGCGTCCCTCGACCCGGCTTCCCCGTTGACCGTAATAAACAACAACAGTCGACGCAACCACCACCACGACACGTCGCGGATCGATTCGTCGGTGAAGAAGAAATATCGGAGCAAAGAAAAGGGAAAGGTGCGACGGCCCCTTCTACCTGACGGAAATACGTCAGGTAAGAGAAAGGAAGTAGGGAGGTGAGGAAGTGGACGGATCGACGGAAGCGACTCGCAACAGGCTTCCTGTCTACCGACGGCGAAAGACGCCGGCGCCGTTACCGTGCGCGTTCGTCGAGATCTCCGTGATTCTTCCGCCGAACTTTCTCGCGCGCGGCAAATTCGCGTTTTCTTTTTAACTTAAGCCGTAGTAAGTGAAGAACGGCGCGTTTGCCGAGCGTGTACGAATGCGGCGGAGGTACTAGATAGAACGAGGCGAAAGCGACGGAGCGAGGTCTCTCTCCCCGAGACTGATCCTGCGTGTTGAACGACGAGCGGCCTCCGCCACCGCCGCCACCGCCAGCGTCGCCACCGCCACTCGTCCCCACCGCCGTAAGGCTCCTCATGGCCTCCACGTTCCCTCCTCCTTTCCAACCGCCCCCTGTTGTCCCCGCCGACGGTATCTCACGGCCCGCGAAAGCTCCCACCTCTTCTGTGTGCTTTTTTTCTCTGTTCCCTCTCTTTCGGTCTATCGTTCCGTCGCTTCCGCTCTCTATCGTTCACACCCGCACGAGTACGTATCTCTCGCCACTCTTTGGTATCTCCTACTCGGGGTTCCGTTCGCCACCTTCTGGTACATCTGCCACTATCAGCGCGATGCCGCGGTGATGGTGTTATACGGACGAGATTGTGGCACTAAGTACTGCTGTACGCGTTGGTTACGAAAGCGCGAGATTGTCTGAGGTTTTATGTCTTACGACAGAGAATTATTGCAAATTATGAAAAACAAACGTCAAACATCTTGGACGTTTACGTCGCGGAGTGATAAAACTTTGTGGATGGGACATCGCAAACTCTTTTTATTACGAACGTAAATTTAAAGAAAGGAATTACTCCAAGTGTTCTTGTGTTTAACGACATTTCTATCTTTGATCGCGAATAGAATAGTAAAAAAATTATTGTTAAAGCACTCGCCTTATTAAATTATTGATTTTAAGTTGTGTAGCGACATACTTGTCAAGTGTCATTGATTTAATCTACTATTGCATGTGAAACATGAAAATTAGAAGACAAATTAGAATTTTCTAGTTGAATCTATTAAATTCTAGTTGAAATAACCAGAATTCTAATCTGTATGATCAAAATCTTCAGGTTCTTCCATTTTCAACCAGAAATTTTTCTCAGTATAGACGTCAGGAGATGTACTGTACACAAAATTGTATTTCCATTATCAAAGTAAACGTCAAGAGTATTTCGCTTGGTTTTCATTTGCAATATTGAAACATGAATTTACTCAAAATTTCAACGGTTTCAAATTTATGTTTAAAAATATTGTTATGATCAAATAAAATTTATAAAATTAATAACGGTTTCAGGCATTACTGAAATGTTAATGTCTATTTAGAAAATCGTATTTGTAAAATTCTCATATTTTATATTTTTATCATTTTAAAAAATAGCAACAGTCGGCCCACATTTTTCTTTTAGGATCGTAGCTGAAAGGTCAAAATAACACGTATGCACTGAATCTTCAATTTTCTACAATTGGAAGAGAAGTTATTTTTTGGACATTTTTACCACGTACAATACAAAGCACAGTATCTCTCTTGCAGAAGAAATATAATGCAAATTTCGGAGTACTCGACTAATTTAATTAATTCTCGTACCGTTATGCTACTCTTTCAGAATAGCACATTTGCATGTGACGTCAGAAAAAACGCTATTTTATCTCTAAATAAGTAAAATTTTTATTACATTTCTATCACATTGTTTTCTTATGTGACATAAACAAAATAGATATAAATAAAGTATTAAATCAAGTATTGAAACCAGTATAAAAAAATACATATTAAAATAGACAAATAGTTAACTTATACAAAAACTGATATTTTGTCGCTTTATACAATAACCAAAATAAAAATCGACTGGAATCATTTTCCGGAATTATTTCCGATATTAAATAGCATTATAACGATAAAATCAAACGACATTGTGACAGAGAAAAATAAAAGATTTAATTTTATACATTAATGATTTAAACGAATTATTACATTTAAACAAATTATTAAATCATTAATGTACAAAATTAAATCTTTTTTCCTCTTATCACAATGTAAAGGCTTGTAATCGAAAATGATTAGAAAGAGGACCTTCTATAAATATAAATATTGTATATTATTGGAAACATCGATATTATTAATATTCATCAGACATTCACAATGTACATCTCACAAAGAAGTTTAGGAAAACAAAATAAGATGCATAAATTTAAAACTTTGCAATTAATTATAATTGTATGCGTTAATTTATGGATTTTTACAAATCTTTTTATTTCAAGAATTAAGAATTAAAGAATTCATTTAAACAAAAAATCGGATAGTGACAAATAGATATCCTGTCAGAAAGATGATAATTGAAGAACTTATTCTACGAACTTTGTAGCAGAAAATTCAGCGCGATTTCGCTTTAATGAAGATAAACGCGTGTAGTAAATCACTATTGCAATATTGCAAACCTTAAACGAAATAATGAACTTATAGATTTTAATAAACGCGATGCAGATGGAATAAATGTACAACTAACTTTTGAAAACTTTACTAGTGATTGGTTTTATTGGCGCAAACATAGTTTCGGCAGATGAGAAAAATCTCTGACTGATTGTTCTGAACT